GTTCTCAAACTTCATATTGAAAACGAGGAAATCCGAGTTCAGTTTCGGATAGAGCATGTCGGAATGCATATGTATAGATACATGAACTATTTCGAGCAGATGAAAAGTAAAGACAAATGAAATGAAAACACGAAAAAAACTGTCTGTTCTTATAATTTTGTCCACTACTGTATTTTGAAATACATCGACTGACAGAGAAAACATTTCTGTACAAAATGCGCAGTCAAACAAGACTGTATCAATGAAATTGATGAAACAGCATATACATCTTTTATCGATACCAGAAAATCTTTTTTGGTCCCGTACACATCTCTAGATGTTAGGATGGAGGTGTGAATTTGAATGAGGGTGCGAGGTGTAGATGTGAGTGTAGGTATGAAGTGTGGGTTAGGATGAGGATGTTGGTTGGTGAGAGTGGGATTAGCTGATGATTAGCACAAACACCCATACCACCTCACAGCCACATCCACACCCTAGTTTCGTACTCAACTTTCCCGTGCTGATCATTCCTCGTGCTCATCGTTCACCAATCCCCTAACATAAGTCTTTTTTCTCGAACGTCTGAAAGGTCAAAATATGTATTGAAGTGAATGTCGACAATTGAAAACAGTGTTCATTAACAATTCTTATAAAAAAAACAACTTTGAACAATCCTCTACCATCAATAAAAGAAATCAACCCAATACCTTAGCACACAGTAGAGATATTCCAATTTTTTAGTGTAAAGATATTTATGGTTGACTCTGTGTACAGAAGATTTTAGTTCATATGCTTAAATTTCTTTAAGAACAAAAAATAGAGCCAGTTTTCATAAAATTCATAAAGAATCTGCTTTATTTCACTTATATTAAGTTCTATAAAGAAAGAAAGTGAATTCAAATATCGAACTATTGAATTATTTTGTATCATGAACGATTTGACTTACTTGGTAAGTTTAAACATGAGATCTTGAATTTGTTCGCCTTTTGTATTGATATCATTATTTAATTTTCGAATTTGTTCATCTTTTTCATTTATTTGTCGTTGCAATTCATTTGTATTCGTTGTACTACTTAATGCACTATCTCTTTGAGCCACTGATGTTTCTAAATATGAATATAAAATAAACTTTAATTAAATATCAAAAACAAAAATAATTTTTTTTTGCATATTTCAAGTGTATAGGTGATCGTTAGGAAAAATAGTAATAATAGAAAAAAAAGAATCGAATATTTTCACTTAGTTTCTCTTGTGTGTGTTTTTTTAGCAAAAAAAAAAATTTTTGAGCAGAGAAATAGCAATCTATGTTAAAAGAAGTGATTTGTGTAAAAGAAAAAGAATCAAGAATAGAGAAAAGTGCTGGATAATCATTGTGAAAATATGATACATGATCGTTTAGTTTTCTCTTTCTCTGTCTGTCTAGAAAATTGATGATAATATAATAATATGAAATAAAAAAAGAAATAGAAATGATTTTTATTTAAATAAACATACTTTTTTTCGTATCATTTCCTTGTAATATATCAATATCTAAATCAATAATATATTCATCCATTGGATTAATAATATGTTCTTTTCTTTCATCAAATATTGGTAAATGATTATCATATTTCTATAATGAAAAAAAGAAAAGAAAACAATCTAAAAACTTGAAGACTAATAATAGATGAAATCAGACTTTGAAGAATTGTTCATATTTATTTAATTTCTTTTTTGATTGTGCAATACAAATTTGTTGTTCTCGAAAAATTTTTTCATAGTTTTGTTGTGTTTTTCTACTATGTTCAATAGTTTTATACAGTTTTTTAAGTTCAGTTTTAAGTAAATTTGATTCATCTTGGTACGTTTCAATAACAAGATTTAGATTCTAAAAATAAGAAGAATTTTATTGATCTATTTAAGGTACGGACAATTCGAAATTTAAGTAAAATTTGTCGTTTTGATATTGTTGAACAGAGCTCATCGAATGACGTATAAAAATATTGTTCCAGAAAATATTCGAATGATGTTTTTACAGTAAAATCTTAGAAAATTAGGTTTAAAAAAAACTGGAAAAGTCTATAAAAATTGAAGTATGCCAAAAGCATCAAGTCTCGGTAGTAGAGATGGAATCGATCTGAACTGGTCAGACTTAACCGAACCACTAGTCACCGTCATCGGTTTCATCTCTGGTCGGTAGCATCAATATTTATCCAAAATCATTTGATGAGTTTACTCTTCATATAGTTAGGAAAAAAGATTACGAATGATTTTCGAAAAATATTATTTCATTGTAAAGAAAATCAATTTTTTTAACGTGATAGAAAAACACCATAAATACGGTTTAAGAGATTTTGATTATGAGAAGTTCAGTTCCAAATGAAACGAATATCATATTCAGAAACAGCACAAAATTCTGCATCAAATAGTATGCTCAATACTTAAAACTAATATTCGTCAAATTTTAGTCCATTTACGCTCTTCTCACGGTTGTTTTTGAATAATCTGACCTGTGGTTCTCGTTAGATCAAAATTTGAGGAATAATTTGTTTTATATATTTAGTATACCGTTTAATGAAGAATTTTCTGCTGATTCCGAATATGATATTCGTTTCATATGGAACTGAACTTCTCATAATCAAAATATCTTAATTCGTATTTACGGTGTTTTAATTTCATTTCGAAAATCATACATAAGTTTTTTTCTTAACTATATAAAGAGTAAACTCAAAAAATGATTTCAGATGAATATTTAGAGTACCGAAACCTGATGCTTTTGGTATAGACCTTTTTCTGAGTTTTTTTTTCAACTTTAGGATTCTAAGTTTCGCTGCAAAAACATAATTCGCATATTTCTCAAACTAAATTTTAATAGATAATTCAAAGAGTAACTATGTCAAAGCAATAGCGTCAAAAAATTTTGCTCAAGATTAGAAGTGCTGACACTTTAAAAGTTCCAATTTTTACTTGTATTTGCTGTTTAAGTTTGTCTATTGTTGGTAATTGAATTATATCTGGTGTATTAGTTCGAACACGCATTTGTAGTTGTTGAATAAATTTACGTTGATTACGAATTATTTCTCTAAGCTCATGGATATTTTCGATTTCTGTAAGATCATCGTGTATTTTATTTGATGGATTTCGATCAATTATAACTGAATCGTCAGCACTGCGTCGACGTTGTCGAGTAGATGGTTCAATTAAACCTAAATTATGTATATGTGTTTGGTTAGATTTTTGTAATACATTAATTAGAAAATATTTGAATTATAATTTTCTTAATGAAGAATCTTAGAAAAAAAATCATTTTAGATTTGTAAAAATGTTCAACTTCCACTATTGAAATTTTACAAGGAAGAAAGATCGATTTTACATAAATCAAAGTTGCCTAAAAACATTAGAGAATATGTTACAGTCATTTGACTCAGAATGTATCGAGATATTACCACGTGGTTATGTTTATATTTTGGTGTTTCTCGTAGAATTTAACAGTTCTTTAGAGGTTTTTCAGATATACTAATATTAAATAAAACAATAGTTGATAATCAATCAAATATTTATTATATTATACACTTAATATATACCTTTTATTAATAAATCTCTGTGTATCACTAAGATTGAATTAACCTAGTTAGTTTTTAATCAAAAATAATAGAAACACTTCTCTTAGGCAATTCGGTGTTTAACTTACGTCGATTTTTTATTCGTTCAGTTTTGAAATCGATAGGATAAATTCATCTTTAATATTTTTACACAAATAAATTTACAAGTCTAATGTGGTTTGATATTATCTAGAGAATATCTGACTAAAGTTAGGTATTCGTGAAAACTAAACGAAATCGTTTTTGAGCTGGAAAAATACACATCATGTAGACCCTAATACATTATGAATATCCTGAAACGAGTTCGGACCTCTAGCTTATTGTTGCCGACATATTGCATTTTTATGGTAGTTTTTAATACAATGCCGTCATCCTCCTCAGCGACACTTGGAAAATCGATTTTTGAATTTCGACTTGAAACTTTGCATAGAAAGAAGTCTTAACAAAAATATTTAATTATGAAAGTATTAGACCATTTGATCTGTTCATGTCCTAAGATAAGAACATTGATTCTGCAGGTTTATATAAGCCATATNCACTAAGATTGAATTGACATAGTTTTTAATCAAAAATAATAGAAACACTTCTCTTAGGTAATTCGGTGTTTAACTTACGTCGATTTTTTATTCGTTCAGTTTTGAAATCGATAAGACAAATTCATCTTTAATATCTTTACACAAATAAATTTACAAGTCTAATGTGGTTTGATATTATCTAGAGAATATCTGACTAAAGTTAGGTATTCGTGAAAACTAAACAAAATCGTTTTTGAGCTGAAAAAATATACATCATGTAGACCCTAATACATTATGAATATCCTGAAAAGAGCTCGGACCTCTAGCTTATTGTTGCCGACCTATTGCACGTTTATGGTAGTTTTTAATACAATGCCGTCATCCTTCTCAGCGACACTAGGGAAATCAATTTTTTGAATCTCGACTTGAAACTTTGCATAGAAAGAAGTCTTAACAAAAATATTTAATTATGAAAGTATTAGACCATTTGATCTGTTCATGTCCTAAGATAAGAACATTGATTCTGCAGGTTTATATAAGCCATATAGTAGACTCGCTTTTACCATGACTGTATCTTGAAGTAGGAACAACGAAACTATCTGACGCCTTCTCAATAATCTGTTCTTGTTGAGCCTTGTTTTTATGCAAAGTTTCAAGTAGAAATTCGAAAATGAATTTTTCTGAGTGGGAGAGAGGAGGGACCACGTCATATTAACCCATGATTATCTATATAGCGCATACAGTCCCAATTTGAAAGTAATTAATCAGTTGGGGAATTCTCTCGAAAGTTAATTCAAAGAAGTACTTGATCTTTAACAGAAATTTTTTTTTTAGAAATATTAGAAAGATTTTTATTGGAGAAATACAAACCAGCTTCATATAATATCTTTTGATATTTAGTCAATTCTCGATGATAATTTCTCGATTGATTTTCACTTCGACCAAGTTGTTCTGTAAGACGTGCTAATTTTGTTTGCCATTCAATATTTGATCGTTCTAACAATGCTATAGTTGATTTAATATTTTTTGTTGGTAATTCAATACTTGTCGATGACATTCCATTATGTAATGAACAAAGATTTTGTTCTAATATACATAGACAGAGAAAGAGAAGTAAAAAATGTGTAAGCAATCACATCAATCAATAGTAAAACAAAAAAGAAACAAATCATCAAAGGTAATATAAGCAGTGCAAAAGTATTAGAATATTTAAGAATATCAAAAAGTAATAAATAAAGATAATACAAAACAACAAATACTAAGCAAAGACCTGATGATGATCTCGAATTAGCATCGAGCTTAGCTGAGCGAATATCATTCGTACGACTTTGTTGTGATTTTAATTTTGCAAGTTCATCCTGATAATTAGCTAATTCAATAGTTAATTCAGCTCGTGTATTTGAACCATGAATATCAATTAATGCATTAAGTTTACGCCATAAAACTTGATTAACATATTTTTGACGTGAAAGTTCATGTCGTATTTCGACTAATTGTTTGTGTAATTCAGTTATGGTAGGAAATTTGTCTGTATAGATTTAAGTATGTTTATATTCAAAATTGTAAAAAAAGAGATTGTCTTTGTTTTTCGTTTTTTTTTCTTTTCTTTTCTTTTTTTTTATTAAAAACTTACTTTTCAATTGTTCATTTAATTCTTCACTATGTTGTAAAGCCATTTCAAGTTCATATAAAAGTTCTTCACGATTTAAATTATCATAATTGATATGTACTAAAATAAAATTTATATAACTGAGAAACTAAATGCCTAAAAACGACAATCGATTATTTCTATATGATGATTTTTCGTTTAATCAGACAAAGAAAAATAATATCATTAAAACTTTTCCATATTTTTTAGATTATCTGAATAAAAATTGAATAAATTTCTAAAAATTTTCTTTCAAAAAGAAAACAATCATGACACTGTTTTTTTTCTCGACTCTTAAAGATTAACGTTCAATAAGAAAATATCTTTTAATTTCATCATTTACCTCGAGCTTTTTGTTCTGGTCTAATAATTGTCCTTGACGAGCTAGCCTATAAAAAAGTTTCCAATCATAATGTAATAATACATATTGTAGAAAACATACTGTTGAAGGCATATTTTGTAGAGCTTCTAGTTTATTTCTAAGATCAATAATTTCCTAAAAATATAAATTTTAAAGAAATGTAAACATTAAAATTTTTGTTGTGATAAAATGTGTGCTTTTTTTACTTGATCTTTCTTTTGTATATCGATTTGTAATGCTATATTTGGAGATACACGTTCACTTGAAAATGTTGAATCAAAATTTGGTCCCATAGCAATAAGTTTCGAATGTAATTCATTTATTTTTTTTCCGTTATCTATATTAATTTCATGTAAGTTCTAAACAGAAAAGAATTTTTTTTTGCTTGATTTTTTTGTCTCTTTTAAAATTTACATTGATCTCTCGTTCTTTATCGGATAGTTTTTGACGTAATGTTGCAATTAACTGATCACGATTTTCTACATCAGATGTAAGTTGTGTTTCCATTCGCTAAGGAATAAAAAGAAATTTTAAAAAAAGCAAAGATTTTTTTTTTTTATTCACATCGTGACGAAGAGTTGTTCGATTATGATCACTTTGAAGTTTATTATGAGCTTGACGAACGTCGTTTAATTCTTCATTAGATTGATGAAGAGAATTTTGAAGATTCTAAAAGATTATTCAATGAACAAAATTCTTTTTTTTTTTTTTTTGTCTATCATTAGGTGTTAATAGAGTGTTACATTTTATGTTTGTTGCTGATAGAAACAAGATATTTTTCTATTCTTCTTTCTCTTTTCTTTTTTTTTCTTTTTGTATATGTCAGTCTCGGTGAGCAGTTGAGAAACATCTTCTTTTTTTCTCCTTTTTTTTCTTTCCTCTATAATTTCTTTTAGTCAGTAAACGTGAAAAATCGAGCAGTGTTTTTCTTGCACTCGTTAGTAATAGAAAGAAAAACTGATAATAAGCTAGTGATGCAGTGCCAGGAACAAAAAAAAACGAGACATTGTATGTCTAGTTCTGATGAATGTGTTTGTGCATGTCTTTCTTACTTCATCTGTATTACTATATTGGCTTTGGTTCTAAATGACATGTATATGTAATATATCTCTGTTAATCTTAGTTAAATAGGTGTGAATGAGATATTTCTGTTCGTTTTTTCTTTATATTGTTATACCTGAACTGATTTTTCACGTTGTTTAAATTTATCTTTAAGATCATCAATAATACTTTGATATTGATCACGTTGTTCAGATGGAGTTAGACTATTTATTTTCTAGTAGAAATTAAAATAGATATGTAAAATAAATTGTGGAAAATGTTTTACCTTTTCCATTTCTAATTGTTGTTCTAAATTTCTTATTGTATCCAAATGATTCTAGAAAGCAAAAATAATAATTTTCTTTCAATATTATTTTTTTGTTATTGATTATACTTCTTTATCTTCAAGAGCAAACTTAAGCTTAGTCTCTAAAGATTTACGATTTCGTGCAAAATCGTCAATTTCAAATTGTAGTGCCTTAAAGAAGAATTAATTAATTAGAAAAAACACAACTTGTCAACAGTAATTCAAATTCTTATACATAGAATTTTTGTTCAGATTGTTGTAATTGATCATTAGTTTGAGTAAGTTTACGTTGACAATCTTGAATGTTTAATTGTAATTCACTAATATATCGTTCATGTTCTTGAGTAGCTAAAGATTTTTCATTTATTAGTTTTTCAATTTGTCGTTCACGATTTGAAAGTTCTTCTTGTAATGTTTCAATTGCATCACTATTTGAATTATCAACCTAATAAAAATAAAACAGGAAAAAAACAAAAAAATCTTTTTAAATTAAAATAAAATTCATTAAATAACTTGTTTAATATCGTCAAGAAGTTTTTCAATGTGTTGATCTTTTGTTTTAAGAGATTTCTTATAGGTTTGAATAAATTCTTCTTTAGTTTCAAGATCTTGTTCTAATTCATGAATTCGAATCTAAGAAGAAGAATAGAAAAACAAATATTTTTATTCTACAGATACTTTTTTTTCCTTATAAATCAAATACTTCAAGTTGTATTTGAATATCTTTTCGCCCCCTTTCAACAGCAAAAAGATCGTCTCGAAGTTTCTATTATAAAATTAAACATGTTAATTGATAGTTAATTATATGTATAAAACTTACTTGAATTAAAATCTCTTTTTCATGAAGTTCTTTTTCGAGTTGATTGACCTTAGAATAATTATACAAAATGAGTTGAAAATTTTTGAATATACAAAACGATATTCAATGCTTTCGTATCTGATGGTACTCAGTTACAAGGTAAAAAGATGAATCTTATTGTTAATAAAAATTTCTTCATAGGAGATTTTTATTTGATGATGAAACTATATGTTTTGCCTTTGACAATTTATCCAATATATTTTAAAAGCCTTTTGCTTTTAAATAAACTTGTATACGTTCATAATGGATTGAATATTATTTTAACACAGATTGTTTTAATAAAAAAGATAATATTATATAGTTTTATTTATAGAAATAAAACTCGGGAGTGCTATACAAAGGTATTACTATTGATCCAGATTCTCAACAAAATCATTATACAGTTGTTTTTTCCTCGTTATAATTGTTTGGCTATTCAATTATATAGATCTTGTTTAGTGAACAATTATTTTGATTTATTACTACACAGAGTAGAATCACAACGTAAGATCTATTAAAATGATATTTCCTAAGATCACTTGATTTTTGCAGATTTCTTAACCAGGAATATAAAAGGATAATCATTAACGATATGATTGTTCAATAAGGCTTCTTGGTAGAATGCCATATGAAAATAAATATTTATAAAATGATACTCCAGGATCACGAAAAAAAATACAGAACTCTGATTGTTTAGTCAATGATAGATTTTACGAATAGGAATTAGAAAGAGATGTTTACATAAATAAAACTAAAGATATATAGAAGATGGTAAGGGTTACAAAGTTTTTCTTGCATAGAAAGTCTCGCGACTGATTAATTGTTGTATTGTTGGTACTATATGTATTATGCAGATTCACTTGAGCAATAAATACTCTGGAACGAGTTTGCACCCTTCTCTTATTATTTACCGAGATATTGCACTTTTACGATCACTTTTAAAGAAATGCTGTGATTCCTTTTCAAGAACATGAGAAAAACTGATTTTCGTCTTGAAACTTTATATAGAAGCAGACCTTAACGAGAGTCGTTTAAGATCTTTTAAGTTGCTTCTATTCTGAAATAGAAAAAATCAAATCTGCCAGTTTACATGAATCGATGTAAAAAAAAACAACACGCTATTACTATAGTTGTATCTTAGAATACGAACATCGACAAAACTTGGAACGTTCACAATAAATTATTTGCTTGAAAGCCGCCTGTAGTTTCAAGTCGAAAATCAGTTTTTCTAGTGTAGCGTTCTTGAGGAGAACTATGATATTGACTTAAAAGCTACCGTAAAAATACAGTATTTTCATGGCAATAAGCCAAGGACACGGGCTCTCCATAATGTACATCTTCTCGACTCCAAAGCGATTTATCAATTGGAGGACTTCCCTCTTCAGCCCAGGTGCATGCTACGAAAAACTTACCCTGTACATCTCTCACTAAAAACTTTTCTAACATAAATCAATCACTGCAGTAGCTACTATTTAATTGTTGGTTAAGACTATGTTCCAAATTTAATTGTAAGAAGAAAGTTTTAGTCGATGTTTATAGTTTGAAAATGATGTAATAAAAGATTTCATTCTGTTGTGTTCGAACTAATTAAAAAAAGCAAAAAGAAATCGATCTTAAGATTGGAATTTACTGGAAATAAATTAAAGAATTATATGATCGATGTATTTAGTTTCGATAATATATTTTTTAATATTTTTTTTAAATTAGAAAAAATTGCTTTAGGGGAAAAAAGAATTTCATACGTAGAAATTACCTTTACTGATGTTTTCTTTTTTTTTTTCGAATAGAAATTTGAAGAGAGTCTTTCGTTTGAGTATGTTCGATAAATGAAAAATTTGAGCCAAGGTATAATAGTAGAAGTAATAGCATTCACATCAATTTCTTTCTTTCTTTTTTCTTTTTACTATTCAAAGCAATCAATCAATATGTATTGAAAATAGAGAAAGAAGAGATTCAAGAGCATTTCTTGATTCTTAAGTTCATGTTGAACAACTATGATTGACATTTTTTTTGTTTCTATGTGCCTCTTTGATTTCTCTCTTTTCTCACAATTCCTGATTGTTTGAGTTCAATTTAAATTGTTCATAACGAATAGATTTACATTAGCAAGAAAAGAATAACATATAAATCAACCGTTTTTGATTCCTTAGTTTTCGAATAATTTTTTTACATGTCTACTTGTAGATTTTTGATAATAATTTGAAGTTTGTTGATTATTATGATCTAGACTTACATTATCTGTAAGAATTGTAGACTGTTGTTCGTACTGAAGGAGAAAAACAAAAGGATTTTCAGTAAAAAGAAGAAAAAAAAAGAATCATTCTCATAAATGTACCTCATTGATTTGTTTTTCATATGTTCGATTTTGTTTTACTAATTTCTGTTATCAAAAATAAAAGCAAAATAGTAAAATTAAATGAAATAGTTAAAATTATTATTATTATTTTTTGTGTTTAATATACTTCTATACGATCATTTTGAACGTTGAATTGACTTGTATATTTAAGAGATACATCATGTTCAATTTCTTCATTTGTTTTTTTTGCTGTATTGAAATCTGCATTGCGCCGTTTAATCTCATGTTCATAAGTCTTAAACAAAAAAAAAAAAGAATATAGTAGACAACAACAAAAAAGGAAATCAAAAGATTAACTTGAATCATTTTATTTGCTTTTTGTAATTGAGTTTCTGCGGTCTGCAATTGATTGTCAAGCTATATTAATATAGATACATTCATGAATTTATATCGGATCCAAAAAAAAAATCCTACACGTGATATTTCATGATTCCTTTCTTCAAGAGTAGATTTAAAAGTTTGTTTCTCTCTTTCAAAAGTAGATTCAGAAGCTTGTTTCTCTCTTTCAAGCTCCTATAATATAAAAAAAATCAATTGATATTTAAATAAAGATAATAAATCAATAACTTACTTCGATTTCTAAATCTTTAGTTTCAGATATTTCACTGTAACGTTTACGATACTTAAAAAAGAAATATTTTGTTCTAATTAAAAATATAAAAAAACTTCTATACTTACATCATTTTCATATTTTTGAGTAATTTCAAGACGAATTCTAATCTCAAGTCTATCTAGTTCATATTGAAGTTCCTAATGAGAAAGAAAAAAAAATGATTCTTATAATTAACTAATTTATTTAGTTTTTTCTTTCAACTTACGCTATTTTCTTTTCTTAAAGTTTGAATTTCTTGTAAAATTTCATCTTTTTCTTTTTCAGACCTCTTTTTATCATTCAATGCTATCTTGTATTTTCTTTCGGATTCCTAGTTAAAAAAAATGAATATGTTTATTATAAAGTCAAAACATAAAAAATTATCCTTTATCTTACTTCAAGTTTATGTTGAAAAATCTCATATTGTTCTTTTATATTTTGATTATCACGTTGTAATATAATAAGTTCACTTCGATACCGCTCTGTTTCATCTTCACCATCACGCAAACGTTTTTCATAAACAATTATTCGTTCCTTGAACTGATTAGCAAAAACAAAACAAAAGAATTTATTCAATGGTTGTGCTTTTTAAATATTTGTTTTCAATACTTCATTATTTGATTGTGTTAGTGTAGGCAATTTAGTTGCATATTCATATACTTGATCTGCCGTTGTCTAAAGAAATCGATTATTAAAAAACAAAAAAACAAAAATTTAGAGACTATGACATTTTTCTTACTTGTTTTTCATGTTTAACAAGTTGTAATTCATCGTTTAGATTATCTCTTTCCTAGAAAAGAAAAAAAAAATAATATTTTGTTTTATTTTTTTAATTTATTGTTTACTGTTGCTAATTGTTCTATTTGACTTTGAAAATTCTAGTAAAAAATCAAAATGTTAGAATATTTACATGAAATTAAAAAAATTCTTACTAGATGTTGGTTTTCAAATTTCTTTTGTTGTTCAACAATAATCAATTGTGACTTTACAAAAAAAAATAATTATTAATAAAAAAAAAAAAGAGAAAATATTTACTTGATCATGTTGAGTTTGAAGTTCTTTATATCGTGTAATAGAAGTATCTAATGCGATTTGTATTTCATTAACTTTTCCTCTTTCAAACTAGATAAAATTAATTTAACAAAAAAAAAAACAAATTATAGTATTAAATTTTTACATCTCGTTCTCGTTCTAGATGAAGTCGTTCCTAAAAAAATAGAACGAAGAAATAGAAACAAATTATTTAGATAGAAAGACAAAAGGTTTTACTTCTTGAAAATTATTTTCCATTTCTCGAATCTCTGTAAGATAACTTTCAATTTGTGATGTCTGTTTCTATTCATTGAAAAACAAAAATAGAAAATTATACACAATTGTAACACTTATATATAAACATTTTACTTGAATGGTGCTTTGAAATTGTTCAATATTTATGGACTCGAATGTTGCTTTCTAAAAAAGAAAATAAATGATTATTCTCTATATGAGTAGTTTAAATCAAGAAAGAAATGTGTTTTGAGCACCAAAAAAAGGTGAAATGAGCACCAAATGAACAGAACAGTACACAAGGTATCAATTAAGATTTAAACGAATTACGATTGCAGGTCATAGGTACTTAGCTATTAAATTGTGATAAGCTCTACTCATATTCATTAATCCAATGACAGTTCATAAATAATCTAATTAATTGGAGTAATGATTTGTATATAAAAGAAGTGTAGAAAAAAGTAAAAATTNCCGAGGAATTGTAACAGTTCTGCTGATAGTACCAAGGAATTGAGGTAGATACCTAGAAGGGATCTACGGTCAGTTCCACAGAGAACTGAGGAAATGATCTAACATGCATAGAATTGAGGTAACTGAAGGGGATATGTCTAGTGCTTGAGTGCCAGTTCTCAGTTCCTCGAGGAATTTAGTGGTTTCAGCTGGAACTTTTAGGTATTGGAAGAATTCCTAAACCTCAGTCCTTGGACACCCCTCGTGGACTTCAAGTTTTCGGAAAGCTCATATTTTCAAATTTTGATATGGAACTTTGCACGTATAGAGAATTCATCTAGACTAGCTTCTGTTAAAAAGATTCAAAAGTTTTAAAGAAACCTCTCTTCGAGAGATGAAGCCTTCATAAAAATGAATGTTATATGCATTATCCATGGAAAAGGGTCTATATTTTTTAAAGTCTCCTATTTCGAAGAGACTTTGTTCAAAACTAGTAAACTTTTTAAAGGAAGTTAGTCTAGTTGAGCGTTTTATATGCACTAAGTTTTATAGATCAAAATTCGAAACCACGAGTTTTTCGAAAGCCTGGGATCTCTAGAAAATAGATATATTAAAAGTTCGATAGCTTAGTCAAAACCTAAATACTTGTAGAGTTGTTATTAGAACACAATGTGGTATCTATAGGTAAGAAGTCATTAAAATCGAAACAAGACATTTGAGAAACTTCTTATGTAAAAGGATCTGTTCACTTTTTTCGATGTAATTATTCAATATAGCTATATATAGAAACTTAATTTCTCCTTAAGAATCAATGAAATATAGAAATTTTATACAGCAGAATCCGCATTACATTATTTAAGAAGTTTGTATTTTAATGCTAAAGCCTTTCGACATTGAAAAGTTTATCTTCGTTGTACTTTCTATTAATCGGATTAAAAGTCTAGTTTATACGCAAGTATTATGGTGGACATAAATTTAGAGCACTTACATTTTTCAGTGTTCTTGCTGATGGCAATAGATAGGAAAAATTTGAAAAAACATATTTACAAATTCTCTATCATGATAGATGTACTTAAAAACTCCAATAGAAATACTTGGATAAGGATATCTGTGAAGCCAAATCCTTCAAAACCAATTTCCTTCCTTCATTCGAATTGCACTCAAATTTACAAAAGGCGTCAAAGATGAGAAAAATATTAACATTTTTAATGAAAAACAAGAGTAAAATATTTCTTGAGTTTCCTGTAAATTGAATACAATTCAATGAAAGAAAGTCATGGAGACATGTGGAATGTCTCAATTTGTTCTATTAAGAAAAAAAAACAATATTTATTTTCAAGCCGGTTCGAATAGACTTCAGAAAACTTGTTTTTAATGTCTTGATTTTCTAGAAATTCTTATTCAAGCAATTTTATTTGAACTCTTAGACATACTAATCTTGATAGAGAATCCTCAAATGTGTTTATTCAGATTCTTCCTAGTTGTTGCTATTGAGAAGAAAACTCAACTGCTCTAAATTTTTGTTTCTGTATTGGCAATAAATTATCATGGAATACATACTAAACTTTCATAATTTTTCCGTAACTCATTGTAAGTTTCTTGTTTTGTATTTAGTTCTTGTTGACAAACACTTAAACGATCAGTGAATTTCTAAAGTATTCAAATATAAAAGAAAAAAACAGATTTATAATTTATTAATATATACCTGATTTTGTTCTTGTAAAGTTTGTTGCTCCTGAAAATTGATATGAAAAAAAAATTGCATAATAAATTAAAAAAAAAAACAAGAATATACTTTAGTGTATTGCATTTCAAGATCTCGAATAATTTGTCGTGATTCTAATCTTACTTTATCAATCTCATTGGCACTTTCTCTTAAACGACGATCACGTTGATCAATCTAAATATAAAATTAATAATTAAAATGAAAATAAAAATTTTTAATCAATTATACTTGTATTATTAAATTGTTATTTTCTTGTTCAAATGTTTGGATTTGCAATTCATATTTGTCTTTCATTTGTTTTTCAATGCCAGATAGATGTACTTCATGTTGCTAAATAATCATAATTAAATGTTTATTTAAAAGCAAAATTAAAATTTCTACTCGAATTTGTATTTCTTGTTTTCTAACTGTAGTTTGACTCTAAATTAAAAAGAAGAAAAAAAAATTCTTTTAATAAATATATGAAAAATAAGAATAAAAAGAATTTTTTTTTCTCATTTTTACATCGTCAAAATCACGTTTTAATTTTGATATACGATTTGTTAAACCAGATACATCATCAGCAACATTTCGAAGTTGTACTGTTACTTGAGCAACGGCTGCTTCAGGATTCTAAACATGAACATTAATTGAAAATAAGTTTTCTCACGATAATCATACTTGAACTAGTGCAGCTTCCGTAACAGTCTAAATTAAAACAGAACAAGTTTTAAAAAAGCTTTCTGACAAAGGAAAATAAACAAATAAAAACCGTTGATGATGGTCGAGGTAATGGAGGTAACTAGAAAAAAAAAACCAACGTGAATTTATTATGAAGTTTTCTGTTTTCTTTTTAGGCATACATCTGCAGATGATATTGTTGGATCCAAAATATGAACCAAAGTAGCAACTCGTGTTTGTAAATATGCTTCACTTCGTCCAAGTTCATTGCATTCTGCTCGTAAATTCTAAAATTAATCTATGTTAATTATTTGAAATATAAACCAATTGAAAAATCATACTTCAATAATTTTAGCATATGATTCTAATTTTTCATTTAAGCGTTGAAAATTCTAAAAATGAATTAATTTAATATTTATTGTGGTAATCTCTTGAAAAATATATTAACTTCTTCAGTTAATCTGGGGTTTATTGGTGGATGTTCAGTGAGTTTCTTAATTTGATTTTCAAGTTTCTATATGATTTTTTTCAAAAAAAAAATTATATATATATAAATATGTATTTAGATTTTAATTTTCAGCTTGTTTATATATCTCTCTCTTATATAGAATCATACTTTAATGATTTGACCTTGCTGATGAATTTTTCGAAGGTGTTCTTCAACATTAACATCGGAACTTGTTTGTTCTTGCTATATAAACAAAAAAGAAAACCAAATCAAAATAAGAATAGCTAAATTTTTTAAATAGTAAAAATTATTTTCTTTCTTTCATAATAATTATATAATAAAGCAATGGCAAAAAACCAAGCAAAACAAAAATTTATCTGATAATAGTGAGCAAAATTCAATTATAGAATGATGAAAATTAGAGCATAACTGAGCGGGAAAATTTTTTAAAAGCCATGTGAAATACAAACCAATGGATAAGAAAAACGAATTCGAGCGAGTAAGGGCTAAAAGAAAATGTTCTGTTTTTTTATTGTTAAGACATATTTTATTCTTTCGAATTAAACAATTTGACAAAAGTATAATAATATGAAATATATTTTCTTTCTTTTTTTTTTAGTTTTACCTCATGTCGATATGATTCGTAAGTAGCTAATTTTTGTTGATTTTCTGCTTGCATACTCTAGATAAAATGATATTAAATAAAAATGAAATCTCGACTATTTTGAAATATTACAGCAATGCGTGTATTATAATCAGTTGTTAAACGTTTCAATACACGTTCAGCTTTTGCTTGTTCTTCTTTATATGTCTCATTAACTTGTTGTAGTTTGTTATTAACCTATTAAAAAATTAAAAAAAAGAAAAATATTCTCTTTAAACACATTTCTATTTACTTCAAATAATTTTGATTGCAATGAAGCTGTTTCCTATATTTAATTGAAAAAAAAACACGATTATTTTGCATGGCTATATTGTTTTTTATACTTGTTTTAATAAATCATTTTCTTCTCGAAGTTTTCTTTCACGTTCATTTAATTGATAAGTATATCGACTAACAGGCATAGCTGTATCTGGAGTTGATTCAGTGAATGAAGTTACTGTTGTTAATGTTTCAATGTTTCTACCAGCAGTTGTTTGGTTTATGTTGTCTCCAATGTTATCAGAATCACGAAGTAAATTACGAAGTTTTGCATTTTCTTCACGACACTGTTGAAGTTTAAGATTTAATTTTTCTATCTCATTGTGTTCATCAGTTGACTGAATACTACTAATTTGTGTCCCTTGTTGGTGGCTTGACAAGAAAAAAAATGAAAGTAAACAAATCGATCAACAGAACAAATCGCGGCAGACAACAAAAAAAAAATGATATGTTGTGTTTTTTGTTAAAAACGTTTTAAAAATTATGCATAATGGAATTAGTTATGATGTTAAAAATAGACATCCCTGGCATGTAGAAAAGAAAAGAAATGATAGTCTGAAAGTGTATGTACAAATTTGTGTGTGTGTAGGTAGAGAAGTATTGTAATGAGCTTTTTGTCAACACTAAGAGTCGCTTAATCCATAGTTTTTCTTTAAAAAAAAGAAAGAAATATAGCACAACGACGGATCTAGTATTGTCGAAAAGGGGCAATTATAGTCAGAAAATTTGTTTTAAAACCTATTAGAGGTCATATTGGCTAATTGTTGGATATTTTCTGCTGAGAAAAATTTTAAAATGTGTTCTAAAGAACGGATGATCATTCTCAGTACCTTCTTTCTAAATCCATCATCGATATAACAAGATGAGTACGTAATTCTATTTACTGTAGAGTATAGTATATAGCGATTGAATCAATAATTGAAATAAGAAATACTACTAATCAAAGGTTACATTCAATAGGTAAAATAAACTTCTATTGTACATGAGAAAGGATAAATTTTAATTGAAAAAAAAAATCTTCTCAATTGCTTAGTTGACAAAACTCAAGAATAAATCATAAAAAACAATAGAATCACCTTGTATCGAAATCATCATTAATATATTCCACTTCATCATCACTTGGCTCTCGTATCACTGCTGAATGCGTCACACCCATTGTAGAACAATAAGTTGAATACCTTCAGCTGTCTTTCATGTCTATTACTTCATCTATTCGATCATTCTTTCATTTTCCTCTCTACTTATTCTTATGCTTCTATGGCTTCAATGCTCTCTATACAGTCAAATATATATGCGTATATAAAGAACAATTGCAATAGAAGATCAAGAGACACAGTTTGATTTCGAAAAGAAAAACGAAGGAAAAAAAAGAACGAAAGAGACTAAAATCACATCATTCAATAGTTCATTTTATTTCGTTAGGCATCGATTAACTTAAGAATAAAATGAATATTATGAATAAAAATGAGAGTGCATATTTATGTATTGATATTAAATAAGCATAAACTAAAAGTAACATACCGACTTGTTAATGATGCCTGACGAACTTGATTATGTTCGTTTGTTGATTGATCGATAATAGACTAGAAGAAAACCAATAAATAATAAATAAAAATAAACAAATATTTATTAATTTTACTGTTTGTTGTTGACCAGCATATTCAGATGATGATGGATGAAGAGGACGACGATGACGTTGAGTTGTTGATGATGATATATCGCTACTATCTAATGTATGTTCAGTTTGTTCAAGAAAAAATATTCGTAATTTTAAATCGAAATTTTCACGTTTAAGTTCTTGAAATTCCTAGAAAGAAATTTAATATTTAATCAATTCAATATATTAAATAAATGAGAAGAAAGAAAATGAATAAATCTTTTCTACTAACCACTTCTTCCATTGTGTACCTTTTATCTCTTAAGTGTTAAAATACTACGACATAAAACATAATATAGGTACAAACATGCATACATATCTTCTATCTCACTTTTTCTTTCACGGTCAGCCAATTACAGATTAGATGATAGGACAGTAATCGATAAATGAAGACAAAAAAGAATAAGTATCAAATATAGCAAAATATTTTTATTGTTCATTGAAAAACAGTATTTCTTATTTAGTTAACTATATACACTCATACTAGAAGAAATAAATATGAGATTTTGTTACAATTAGATACACGAACAAACTAGCTTAGAGATACTATTGAAATACACTAACAATATTTTGATTAAATATAGAAAAGATTTTGTTTTTAAATATATTTCAAATTGATTTATTGAAATGAAATAATATTCGTCATGTAATTTTTATAGTTATTTAAATTTCTTTTTTTAAAATTTTAATGATAAGAAATAAATAAATAAACGTAAATTATGTTTGAGGCATTTTTATCTACAGGAAGATATGTAAAGTATGCATTATCTTATCTCTTAATCAAAGTTTTCTTGCTGACATTTGTATTTGGAAAAACTATTAGTAATAGAAGTCATTCAGCAAAACACTGATAAATCGTTTATGATTAGTTTAGTCAAAATCTGTGCATATTTTAATTCATCTGAATCAATTAATTTTTTTCTAACAAGATAATAGATATGAAAAATAATGAAAATTTTTTTTTTAAATGATTATTTACTGAGTCATATTCACGCATTGTTCTTGGATTAGTTGACGAAGTAAGACCGGGTATAGTAGGTGTTCTCGATGGACTTTCTAAAAAACAAAAACAAAACAAACAATAGATCAATGTCTTTCAAAAACAATACTCTTACCATCAGATTTAGTCGATGAAACATCTTCTTGTAGGCTAGTGTCCATAATTATTTTTAATTTACAATATTCAATTATGAATCACTAAAAAAATTTCATTAAAATAATGAAAACAATTCTCTTCACAAAAAAAAATTATATGAAAAATAAACTAATAACAAAACATCGCTTATGATTTATCATATATCGCTCACAATTAACTTATGACTACTCATGTCTATGTACTTTTAATCTGTTTATATGAAAAAGAAATCGAGACAAAATATTTGTTAGAGATAATTGTCGTAAATCTTTTCGTTGATTTCTCAACTATCTTAGATGGGGTTCTTCTTCAATTTCTCAATTCTACAACAAAGTCCTTGTGCAAACAATGTTGATGACAACTTTACGACGCAATCGGATACTTTTTTTTAAATAAAAAACGTTCGTTATGGTGATTATATAACACATTAAATATGCGTACTTCCCGCGATTACCCCTATTCTAATAAAAAGTATAGGAAACACATTCTTTTCTTCTACATAGCTTCCCGCTCTTGCACAACAAACCATCGTATTTTGTTTTAATTGTAAATATCTCAACTAAAAAAAGAAAAGAAATGAAATGTCAGGTTTAAGAAATCTTACCTATACACTAGTCTATATCTTCTCTTTAGACGCCTTGTATTCATCATGGGTTGCCGTTATCTATTCATTCTCTCCTTCAATTCTATTTATTTGACGAATATACTTTTTTTTCCACACATGTCTTTTTTTTATTGTGGTTAAAAAAAACACATACACACAGACACACACACACGGATAACGTCGTCGACTGCTGCTATTCTCTTCTTTGGCATCATTACCACCGTCCCCCAACATCACACATCGTAGTGTGTTAACTTTAGTAGAGAGACTGAGGAAAAAAAGAAAACGGAGAAACAGAAAGGTAAGAAGACACAGAACAGAACGACGAGTTGTGTAGAAGAGAAACACTATGTATCTTTCTATTTGATTTGACTGGAATAAAACTTTTGATATTGATATACTAACAGGTGAATGCCATCGTTACAGACGGATTCATCGGTTGATAAATACACCTGTCTGTTTAATTTCAAAATATTTGTAAGACAAAAAAAAGCAAAATGATAATTATTAATTTGTTTGAATTCTTTTAGATATCTATATAATAAGATCATTTGGTGTTTTTCGGCCTTTGATTTTTTAATGATTCAATTTTTCTCATAATACATAAAGAATTTAGTCGACGTGCTTCTTTTATTGACATGATTTTGATAAGAAAAGAATTTCATTTGCACAGTAAATAGGTCATTTAGAAAAATTGATTATATTAACTGAAAGTTATTCATATAAAATATTAATGTGGTTTCATATTGAAAGTGAATATTTGCTTGACAATTATGCTGATAAATATCTTTGTATGAACTTATTCTATCGTAAAATGATAAGAAATGATCCTGAACAAGAAAATAGATATAGATTTTTTTTTCACAGACGTTAATTCTCATAAGAATTTTTCAAGATAAAAGCCATTGCTAGTTTCCAAGCACAAGATTTTTGAAAAACTGAAACCTAAGTTTTTCTACTCGTGAAACTTGAAAATAGAATTCTACTTGAATTACCTAGACTGACTGAACAAGCAAATCTCTATAAAATGAAACCTCTTCGAACTCGTTCTGACTATTTTTTAACCAAGATTCATCAGCTTTAGGAAATTCATAAATCTGATACTTTCGTACGAGGTAACACAAAAACGACTTTTGTGTCTTGCGTAAGATTGATGTAGTTGGCCCAAAATCATCGTTCAGTGAAGGAGCTGAAACCGATCGGAGTAGACCAGATTGGGCCGAACCGGCCGGTGGATCTGAAATCTATGCCAGCACTGCACTGAAGAGCTGTTGTATTATTCCATCTATGATAGTGATATTTGGCATAATCTACTTTCAACAAAGTTAATGAGAGATACCAATAATGACTATCGATCTGAGATTCTTACTGGTCCTGGTTTCATTTTATATAGAATTATATGCTCTATCATTGTAAATTATTCAAACAGAATTCCATTTGTGAATTCTAGGAACTAAAAAACATAGGTTTTGATTTTTCAGTGATCGTATCCTTGAAAAACTACCAGTCAGTCTTATTTTCCAAAATTCTTATTGGAAATAAAGTTCTCTACACAAAAGACTATTTGGATTCTTATAAGCGTTTACAGAAGTAGAAAAGGGTTGAAAATAAGTTTAGAAATCACAGTATATAGGGTTCAAACATTATACAAACGATTGAAAACAAATCCATTTACTTTGTTCTTCGTCTTACATACCAGCTGATATCTTGGATTATTGCATAAAAAAGACATTCTTTTTCTAAACATTCATCTTTTCGTCGGAATGAATTGCTGTTTTTTTTGTACATTTCGAATCAGGTTCATTGATAAAGTTGGCTATCAATAAAGACTAACCGTTGTTATTTGTCATTTTAGTATATATATATATATATATCATGAATGACACAAGGTGATTTTAACAATATGATGGAGTTATTGACCTTGATATGTAAGAGACATGAAATAATAGGACAGAAAAAAAAAATACCTGAATACACAGAATTAATTAGACAGCCGAATGTCATAAGACTGCTTGTTAAAAATAAATATTTATTATGATAAAAAGAAATTATATGCACAATCTAGACATACAAAAATAAGATACTCATTTATTTTATGCTGATTTTTGCGGTTTTGAAGCAAACTGTATATAATAATAATAATAATAATGTATATTTCTTATGTTGATTTCCATGAAATAAAAAAACAGCATTCTATAAATAAAAGTATCTATGAAAACAAAGTGATAATCTTTTTTATTCTATGAAATAAACGAACCATAACAAATATAAAATCACTGAAAAAGAAAATTTTATTGTAGAATTGATCAATTAACTTTATCGATTGAAAAAATTGATTATTTAATCAGAGAAATTTTCAAGTTTTAGTTATTTGTTGATTCCTATTGAAAACTGAACAACAACATCCACAATTTCAGAATCACAGTAATATGTGTTAAACAGTACTATAATCGGATTTTTTTTAAAAATAGCCCCACTGTGTTTTGAATAACTTTTGTCTGCCAATACCTGTATAGTTCCGGTTTTCGCCATTCGATAGAGTAAGTAATGGAACGTCTATCTGTATAAGATTCATCGAAGCAGAAACCCTTTTTCATGGTCTTCCGGAAGCTAACATTTTTTCTAATGTCGTACTCTCGCAGTTGTCATGACAAACTATGATCAAATTATACCAGATTGTAGCCCCAGGGACCCCTCTATTTACTATAAAATTTTCAAATTGTTTCAACGTTCTCTCGACGAATGGATACTTTTACACTGAGGCCAAGAAATGCATGTTTGGACGAATTTCACAAGGTAATATCAATTTTCGATTATGCCTGGATTTCATAGCACCATTGGTTATCAGACTTAACGAACTTTCACATTTAGCACACTGACAATGTTACAACAGTGTCACACTATAGTTCTACTATAGGTGTGTGTTCTCGGTTTTGTTGAAAGTTTACACGTGTTAATACAAAAACGTATAAAAAGAAAAAAGAACAAATTTTTTCGAAAAAATCTGTTCTTTTTTTCTTTTTATACGTTTTTGTATTAACACGTGTAAAGATTTTGTTTTTCATTCATTCTTCTGATGATGCCGAGGGATATTCGTCGCAAGCTCGAGATAGAATAATTCGTGATTTGAAATAAAATCTTACAGTATTTCGTTGCAGTTCGGTACTATTTATTTTGTTATTCTCCCATCTTATTCATCAGCATGAATAATACCTTCGTATCCACCTCCTATATATACAACGTGATTTCACTATGAACGACAGCCGATTCGGCATTCATGTTCTTTGATTTTCAGAGTTAGTCACCTAAGAGACTTTCATCCTTTCACAGTACTGCTCTGTCTGTTATTTTTTCGGTTCTCCTATTGCACGTGGTCAGTACGCACGCCGTTTTTCTGCTGTCTTATTCCGAGTATGTTCAGACACATTCCATATCTTTTTCCTCTTTTCCTCATGTTCTGTCTGGGTATTTTTCAGTGCATTCTCTTTCTCTTTAGTGTATATCTATATATACGGGGTATCTCAAAAGTCCTACGGAAAAGTAAATTCGTAGAATTCCTCTATTTATGAAACTTAATCAACCAATTGTTTTCAGATGATAGACATCAGTGTAAAGTTTTTGTTTGTACAAACAAACTTCACAAATACTGTTCAAAGTTACAACTTTCGACTGAAACACCAAAACCAGTCCTTTTTCTACCCACTTCTCAGTGTTTCTCCTTCAATGCCTCAATTTCGCGCGTTTTTGTAACTTTTATATCAGTCACATCTTACGCTATCATTTATTTGCATTTGTTGTGATATGTCAGTGAAAAATAAGCCTAATAATGTTAAGTTGCAAGATCACGAAGTTCATAAGATCGTTTTAACTTTTGAAACGGTGACCGATGGAGTGAAGGAGAGAAACCGACCTTATGAGCTTCAAAATCTTGGAACTTGACATTATTAGGCTTGCTTTTCACTGACATATCACAACGAACGCATATAAATGATAGCGTAAGATGTGACTGATATAAAAGCTACAAAAACCGCGCGAAATTGAGGTATTGAACGAGAATGTATACATTGTTTGTTTCTTTTAGCTAATGTGAAAAATCCTCAACAAGTTATTCGTTTTTATTAAGAGAATTTAACTTGGGCTAATACAGATGAAAATACATCTAATAAACAATAGTGATCTGTTTGGTGGGTGCTTTTTTTCCGTTATTCAAAATACGAATATTTCAAATTCATTGTGATATATAGATTTTTTTTTTTTTGTTCGTTAGTAGTTCTTTCAAATAGAATTTTCCTTTCATGATAGATGTTACAAAAAGAAATATTAATAAATAGATATTTTCTCTTTCTCTCTCGTTTGTTCTATTGATCTGTATGTGGATTTGATTGAGATTTATGTCTACGAATCTAACATTACAATTGAATG